AGCATAGGTTGTGGTGTGATACTAATGTTTCTCAAAATCAATTTGGATTCATGCCGGGTAGGTCGACTATGGAAGCCATACATTTATTAAGAGGTTTGATGGAGAAATATAGAGAAAATAAGGATGATCTACATATGATATTTATTGATTTAGAAAAAGCATATGATAAAGTTCCAAGAGAAGTGCTATGGAGAGTTCTTGAAAAGAAAGGAGTTAATAATGCTTATATTCAAATCATTAAAGATATGTATGCAGGAGCTATTACTTGTGTTCAAACACAAGGTGGATTGACCAAGTATTTCCCTATTTCGGTTGGGTTACATCAAGGATCAGCCTTAAGCCCATATCTTTTTGCTTTAGTCATGGATGTTCTCACAAGACATTTGCAAGCGGATGTACCTTGGTGTATGCTTTTTGCTGATGATATTCTTCTTGTTGATAAGACTAGATAGGGAGTTGAAGGTAAACTTGAATTATGGAGGTCAATCTTAGAGTCTAAAGGTTTTTGTTTGATTAGATCTAAAACGGAATATATGGAGTGTAATTTTAGTAGTAATAGGCCTAGTGAGGGGATTGTGACTCTGGGCGATCAAGTTATAAATAAGAGTACACGTTTTAGATATCTTGGATCTATTGTTCAGAGTGATGGTGAAATAGATGGGGATATTATCAGCAGAATTCATGTTGGATGGTTGAAGTGGAGGAATGCATCGGGCTTGTTATGTGATAAAAATGTACCCCTCAAACTTAAGGGAAAATTCTATAAGATGGTAGTGAGGCCGGCAATGCTTGATGGTGCCGAATGTTGGCCATTAAAAGAGAAGCATAATACTAAGTTAAGTGTGGCAGAGATGAGGATGCTCAGGTGGATGAGTGGCTTTACCCTTAGAGATAAGATAAGAAATGAGCATATACGTGAAAAGGTTGGAGTAGCTCCAGTAGAAGATAAGATTAGAGAGAGTCGCCTTAGATGGTTTGGTTACATAAAACGGCGGCCTTCCGATGACTCGGTTAGGAGAGTAGAGGTATTAGATTTGACTTATGTTAAGAAAGGTAGGGGTAGACCTAAAAAGACTTGGTTAGAAAATGTTAGGAATGACCTTTCTTTATTAGATTTAAAAGAGAATTTGATTTTTAATAGGACACAATGGAGAAAAAGGATTCATGTAGCCGATCTCACGTAGTGGGATAAAGGCTTGATGTTGTTGTTGTAGAGTCGAGATATTAAAAACATACTATTTTTAATGACTTGATCGCCCATAGTCACTATCCCCCCACTAGATCTCATACTATTTAAATTACACCCCATGTATTCAGTTTTAGATCCACTTAAATGAAAATTTTAAACTCTAAGGTTGACCTCTATAATTCAAGTTTTGCTTTAACTCCCTCTTTAATTTTATCAACAAGAAGAATATCATCAGCTAAAAGCATACACCGGGATACAACATCTTGCAAATGTTTAGTAAGAACATCCATGACTAAACCAAAAAGATATGAGCTTAAAGTTGATCCTTGATGTAATTCAACTGAAACAGGAAAATACTTTGTCAAACCACCTCATGCTTGAACACAATTAACAACTTATGCATAATTGCATATATCTTTAATGACTTGAATATAAGTATTATCAACTCCTTTCTTTTGTAGAGCTCTCTAGGGTACTTCTTTTGAAATTTTATCATATGCTTTCTCTAAATTAATAAATATCTTATGTTGATTCTCCTTGTTCTCTTTATAGTACTTCTCCATCAAACATCTCAATAAATGCATAACTTTCATAGTTGACCTACCCTGCATGAATCCAAATTCGTTTTGATAAACATTAGTATAATGTCGCAACCTATGCTCAAAAACTCTCCCCTAATTTTAATGTTTGACACATTTTCTTAATTCCTTTATAATTCACATACTATTGTGCATCACCTTTATTCTTAAAAATATTACCCAACACACCCCTTTAATCTGATATCCTTTTAGTCTTCAAAATAAAAATAAAAAGTTTGATAAACCATGAAATTCCTTCTTATACTAAGCATTTCTTCACCTCTATTGGACTATCATCAGGTCCATCTGGTTTTTCATACTTTATTTTTTGTAAATCTTTTATTACTTTAGTTTTACTAATACGTCGATAAAAATAAAAAAATTTTATTTTCATTTAATGTGCTAAGGTTACTAAAGCCCATTGTATTCTCACAATCCTCTTTGAAAAGCTTATTGAAATAACTCAGTCATGTAAGACTATGAAAGCTGTTGTATGGCTATGCATGTAAAGCTGGGATCTATTTTATAATTTTTTATTTTGATTTACTTATGAGCAGGGAGATCCTGCAGCAGATTGGTTGCTTTTCTTATTGGGAGTAAGGGGCTAGAGGCTATCAGGTTAATAGGGTAATCTTGCTTAGCTTATGCTTAATTAAATCATCAGGTTAACATGATGCTCTCAATCCATCTGTTGGGTGTCACCGGAATTCATGGAAATCAACTTTGGTTGTATCTACTTTCCTTATCAGGAGAAATTCAACAATGGATCATTGAACAAATTCATCTCATTGAGTATTTTTTTTTATTCATTAAGCTTACATCGGTTTGTGGGCTTTCAGGTTATCTTTCTAGTTGAAGTTGTGTTGGTTAGAACCACAATTAAGTCTATTTTAATCTTCAGTTATTAATCATAGGTGTCTTCTTGTTGTTAAAATGAGGTGTCATGATTAGTTGGTTTTGGGTCTTTTAATTGACCTGGTCCAGCTATTAGGTGCGTTTTGATCTATCAATATGCCGACCCTCCCTTGTTTAATACACGTTTGAGTAGGCTCTAATCACTTTAATGTGTTATTAGTGCAGCCTAGCAATCTTTTGGTTGACCCTTAATCTATCTGCTCCAAGCCTAGCTATCGTTTAATTGAGCCTTAATTAGCCTAGTTTGGGATGATTTGGATCTGTGCTTTAGAGATTATTTCAACCCAACACAGATGTTCAAAAAGAAATAGGATATATATGAAAACAAATAATTTTAAGATTGACGTGTTCTTTTTTGCATAAGCAAAACATTGATAATTTTTTTATAAATAACAAGAGTAAATAAACTACAAGACATTTATAGAAAAAGTTAGATGATAATTTTTTGTTCTATCTATAAAGTACAATATAGTTCTATATTAACTCCAAAACGGTTCTGTAAAACAAAATGACAAACCTTGTTGTGCTGTAAGAAAACACTCAAATCATTATTTTTCATTAAGACAATATTTATTTTTGTTTATGTAGAGCTCTCTTGTTGTTTTTGAGAAATGTCTTTTACTCCAAATCAAATTTCATGAGGAACTCGTGATATATATATATATATATATATATTTCAAGTTGATGGTTTGGATAGCAGGCATGTGAATGCAGCTTATATGCCGTTGGCCTCAAGCAATACTCTACATTGATTGTGCAATATTTGTGTTTATTTATACGCACTCATCATCATCATTATGTTGCTTTCCTTGTGTTTACATGCTTTATTGTCCTTGTACGAAAATACTGCTGATTAAAAAACTTTTACTTTATGATAATTGAGGGAAAGGCTCAACATCCAACTTATTCGGGGATGTTCCATTGCCCTTTGGTATTAATTGATCACTACATTTTTGACAGTCTTGTAGGTCTATATATAGAACGTTTATAATCTTTCTTTAGAGAACTCTATCTAAGGAGGGAGATAGAATAAATTAGATAATGACGTTACAATGGAAGTTGGTTGGATGTTTCTGCAGCTCTTACTAAATTTTTACTGTATCCTGCAGGCAACTTGTGGAATACCAGAAATATCTTTTGCCACGTTTGAAAACATGGAATATGGGGGGGAAGGTACTAGATAATTTTGAAGATTGTTCTCTCTTAATATTTGTTGAAGCTCTTGTACTTAAATGTACTAATTTGGTGCCTTTGCTGACTTCTGAAAATTTTATTATGTCCTCCATAAGCCCTATGAATCATCTATAACCTTGTATTTACTTCTTTTAGTTCCATATTATTAACATCTTCATGTTTGCATTATTCATCTTCGGTTTTAATATATCGCAGAAATCACCTTGAGGTATTGCTTAGATATGAGAAACAAGTTTTTTTCTCCCATGGAAGGATCTTTTTTTACCTTAACTAATGATCGTCACTACTCATAAATTTCCTAAAATATTAAAGCAAGCATTGTTAATTTAAGCATCTATATATTTTGTTAAGCCATTAAAAGAGTAGTACACCTATCTAAATAACATGTGTCATACTAATTTTTATGAGTGTGTGCTACAAAAAGTGACTGCACTGGTATTCATACTAGGGAACTGTCTTTTTTTGTTGATCAATTGGATGGTGGATAATGCACTTTCAAAGATTGACTCTCATTGAGGGATTTATATGTCACACCCCATTTTAACTCCCCTAGTGTCAAATTAGAGTGTAATAGTGAAGGAGAATATGAAAGCTCAGAAAGTAGGAGGAGAGCGGAAGCTATGAAGATGAAGATGGATACTGTGCTGGAGGACATCGAAGATTGGTCGGAGATGGAGGAGATGTTTTGCAGCAGAATACCAAACATAAGTTTGATATATTATCGGTAAATATGATATGCATGTCGTGTCTTCTTCAGTGTTTAGTTGAAATAATTTTCATTTTAATTTTTACGTATTGGTGGTCAGGCGGCACCTAGGAACAGTTTGGTACCGATTCTAATTGGGAGGTACCGGTCGGTATCACTAGGTACCGGTCGGTATCACTAGGTACCGATCGGTACTTGTCGGTACCGATAGGTACCAATGCTATTGCGAAGTTGTGTGTCTATTTCCAATGTTAAAGTCGAAGTGGTTCATTAGATTATCTTGTTTTTAGGTTGTCTGCAATAGTGAGAAAGAGGCATATGAAATTTACTGCCATTACGCGCACAATGTTGGTTTTAGTGTTCGTAAAGATCACCACTGTTACTGGCCTAATTCGAGAAAGATAAGGCTCAAGGATTTTGTATGTTTGAAAGCTGGATTTAAGAAGGGCATTGACTTGAACGCCAAATCAAAATATAGGAATTCAAATACATGGACTTGGTGTCCCGCGATGATTAGATTTTCAGTTGATCATATTGCAAATCTATTTTTATAACTTATGTTTTGATGATTGACAAACACTATTGATTATCTTGGACTGCCTGTTACTTCTAACTTTTTAGGAATCGAAGATCGGACGAACAAACGAAGCTAGTTCAAGATTGCGTAGGTTAGGGTTGAGTCAGTCTGTAATTTGCTTTTTCTCTTCTTGAGTCTATTTGTAATGTTCAAAAAGACTGATGCTATGTAACCCTACGCACACTTGAGAGACTTAGAGTTTCTGTTTTTTCTCATATCGGCCAGGACGATATTTACATCGTCCTGGACGATCGGGCTTAAAACAGAAAATCTAATCAAGGGTTCTTAATTAAGGTAGCCGTCATTAGCCAATCGGCCTGGACGATACGTGTATCGGCCTGGACGATAAACTCAAAACAGAAAGAAATTGCCGCCATAAACAATTAAGGTATCATGTATTTTTTGGTAATCGGCCAGGACAATCTTGGATCAGCCTGGACGATATTCACAAATTATGCCTTAATTGATCAAACAATCAAGGAAGTAATTAAGGATGATTGATACGATCATATCGTCCTGGACGATCTATTCAAAAATCTTAGTTACTTCTGGACGATAAATATCGGCCAGCACAAATTCAGGGCGTTGTGCTGGACGATAGGGATCGGAAAGCTTGAATTTGGGGTGATGCTCTGGACGATTTTCCTCTGATTTTAACTGATAGGCCTGGATGATGGTGAGATCGTCCTGGACGATCAAGCTAATTTTCAATCGTCCAGTTTGCATTCAGGGCGATGCTCTGGCCGATCTCATGGAATTTGTACTGATCGGCCAGGACGATTTCCATATCGTCCTGGACGATATAGTCGGCAACTTGCAATTAATGAGCTCCTTTGAAGCTCTTCTATTTAAGAGCTCTTGTTCAACGTTTTGAATATTCTTTTGCTGCTGCCTTGACCTGAGAAGACCTTGAGGAGAGAAAGAGAGAGAGAGAGAGAGAGAGAGAGAGGATCCTGTGAGGGGGAGCTTATGAGGGGATTCACAAGTGTTGCTTCAAGGATCGCTCTGCTTCTTCTTCGTCTAGAGTTTCTCGTCCGTGGAAGGGTCGGTAGAGGTAAGGATTCAGCTTCTGATTGTGGTTCTCTGCTAGCTTCAGGAGGAAGCAAAAGGAGATAGGTTCTCTGCCTTGTCGGGGTGGCAAAAAGAGGTTCTTTGTAAAGGCTTCTCCGCCTAGCTTTGGGGGCTAAAAGAGAGTCACGAGTGTAGTGCAATACTCGGAGGGCGCCTCCGGGGAGTGAATGTAGGTCAAGTTTACCGGACCACTATAAATTTCTGTGTTTTTATTTCTTGCTTCCGCACTTTAATTTTCGCACTTATTTTTCTTGTGGTGTGATTTTGGTTTATGATATTTTACTTTTTTGTGAAAAGAAATTTTAAAATACAAATTCAGCCCCCCCCTCTATCATTTCAGTCCAACTATTATTAAACTCCTCTGAATCACATTTGCTCAAACATTTATAAATGAGACCTCTAACCTTGTTGTTGCTGTTGTAGAAATGCAACTTGGATGGAAGCCTCTTGATGATGTGCCTTTGGCATAGCCTATGTCGTGTTTGAGGTAATGCAATTTCTATTGCCTGAGACATTGCCTGGTCTTGGTCAGTAAAAATTGTAATGGGATGTTTATCTCCCATAATTCGCAAGAATGTTCTAAACAACCATATAAATGATTCTATTATTTCCTCCGACAGGAATGCAACCCCCAAAAGAATATTCTGCCAATGCTTATTAATTCCAACAAAAGGTGCACAAGCTAGATTATATTTGTTCAGTCTATAGCTGGTATAAACAATGATAACATCTCTAAAGCAATCGTAATCTATTCTTCCCACACCATCAGCCCAGAAAAAAATCATCAATCTGTCCTCTTCATCATATTGTACTTCTCATACAAACATGTTATCACTATTTGCTCGATCTTTAAAAAGTTCAATTAGGGAATTGGTGTCGTCAGTCTCAATCTTACCTCTTTTCTCTTTCTGAACAAAGTTATATGCATCCCTTTTGGAAAAACCTACATACTCCCTTCCCCTGACTTCATCAGCTAGGTATGTGAATGCATCAATAGTTCTAATCCCAGCGTCCGTCATTGATTTAAGAACGAATGCTTTCTCTTCGCTAATATTCCTATGTGATCTGAGTAAATGTTGATCTTCAGGTCTTGCTAACTCATGATTGTGGCTAAACAATGCATTTTTTAACCTTCCGTACTCCACCGTGATCAACTAAAAATCTAATCATCGCGGGACACCCAGTCGTAGTATTTGATTTCCTGTATTTTGATTTGGTGTTCAAGTCAATGCCCTTCTTAAATCCAGCTTTCGAACATACAAAATCTTTGAGCCTTATCTTTCTCGAATTAGGCCAGTAATAGTGGTGATCTTTACGAACACTAAAACCAACATTGTGCATGTAGTGGCAGTAAATTTCATATGCCTCCTCACTATTGCAGAAAACCTAAAAACAAGATAATCTAATGAACCACTTCGACTTTAACATTGGAAATATACACATGAATTCGCAATAGCATTGGTACCTATCGGTACCGATAGGTACCGATTGGTACCTAGTGATACCGACCGGTACCTCCCAATTAGAATCGGTACCAAACTGTTCCTAGGTGCCTCCTGACCACCAATACATAAAAATTAAAACGAAAATTATTCAATTAAACACTGAAGAAGTCACGACATGCATATCATATTCACCGATAATATATCCAACTCATGTTAGGTATTCTGCTGCAAAACATCTCCTCCTCTAGGCTGTGACTCTTGAGTAAAACCCTCCATCTCTGACCAATCTTCGATGTCTTCCAGCACAGTATCCATCTTCTTCTTCATAGCTTTCGCTTTCCTCCTGCTTTTTGAGCTTTCAGGTTACGAGAAAAAAATTTTAACTGAGGTAAAAAACCAGCGCCATCAAATATAACCCTATGTTTTACCGCTCTTTTTTTTTCGATTATTCAGGCAGTTCGGGTCATCGGGCCGCGAGGTAAAACAAATCAAGTGCTGAAGAGATCGGTGGGGTAATGGTGGAATCCACATGGCGGCCAGCAATAGGTTTACACACACAGAGCTACGTTCGCACTCCACACCCAATAAAAATTCCATATATTGCCTTCACAAACTCAATGAATTGGGGACATCTCCTAGTATGAGCAAATTCTAGAAGAAAGCATCTTATGGGTCCTAAAATTCAAGCATAGAAAATAATTTTTACTAAGGAATTTGTTACGGTTATAGCTACAACAGGGCTGAAAGATGTGTTGTATCACTTTATGTTGTAAGAGAACTAATGGCTTATGGCATGTCACACTTCGCCAGAGAATGTTTATAATAATAAAAAAATTATTTTCACATATTGCAACATACAAGTGAAGTGTATTAAGGATGAAGATCAAAAAATACTTTTCTTAGAAGATGATATTCAACAAAGATGGATGAGATATTTTGCTAAACTTTTTACTGAAGATTGCAAAAATAAAATTGACTATAGTGACCTTAGCACCCTTAATGAAAATAAAGATTTATGTTTTTATCGGCGTATTAGTAAAACTGAAGTTAGAGAGGCTTTAAAGAAAATGAAGGGTGGAAAAGCTGTTGGACCTGATGATATTCCAATAAAGGTGTGGAAATGCTTAGGAGATGAAGGAATTTCATAGCTTACTAAATTTTTTAATATTATTTTGAAGAC